ACTTACTGCACCAGTAATCTTTGGAAAAATTGATGTCAGGGTTACTGAAATGAATAGTTCTGAAGAACTGCCCTAGGGTTTGGCGGAGCAGCAGTTTTTGAAATGAAGCAACATGGTTCACTGGCTGTGGATGTTCTGCAAGCGGCTGCGCAGCACTGTGTGACAAGAGAAGGTACTGGGAAGGTCTGGGAGATCTTTTCTGTGCCGTCCCTCCCCTTCCTTTTTCTCCTCCCCCAAAATGTGTACACGTCCAGGAAGCTCTTCCCATAGATGTCTCTTGTGAAACGCTTTGCCTAGAGTAAAGGTTTGGAGAACAAGCAAATCTTCAAAGATTTTGTTGACAGCTTTTTTTTTTTTCCCTCTTCGTGCACAGAGAAACTATATATTCAAAGAAAAATCGTATGATTATGTGGTGAAGCTTAATAAAAGTTCTGAAAATCTGTGGAAGATATCTCTGCAATAGGGATAACAATGTTTTATGCCAAGAAACATGCTTGTATGTGTTAGTGTGTGGTTTGTGTTATTGTAGGTTCCCTCAGGATAATCTCAAAACAAGTTGATCTTTATTTCACAAATGCATCTTGCACTTAAAATATTTATTTAATCTTTGCAGGCTTGGTAAACTGAGCTTGTTTGAATGCTTTTAACTTACATTTTCTTTATCACACTGTCATTCTTCCAAGAACGCTTTTCCTCATCTTCAACTTAAATGATAGGATTCCTTTTATGTGAGCCAAAAGGTGTCAGTTGACAAGTTACACGTGTTTTACTGAATTGTTTGCATTTGGGATATTTCTTGTTTGGCTTAATACCTTATTTTTGTTTGTGGTTTTTCGTGTTAAAACTGTACCCACATGTCATATAACTTACATTCCATTTCATTACTTAGAATATGGAGCCCAACACTATGAATTCTCATTATTTTTCTGTGAAAAGCCAACTGTTTGAAAGCCTGGTATAATAAGCAGTACACTCACTGTACTGGCTTCTGATATGACTCAAGATGATGACTGGAAAACAACTTGAGTGCTTTCGGTTGCATGACTCTACTAAGCCTACTAGTCAGGGTGAGAAAGAAAAAAGTTTCTGTATCCCCGACAATTGAGAGAACTAACAAGACCAGTAAACACCAGTACACTGCCAGCTTCTCTGCTGGGCAGCGGCTGTATCTTGCCAGCTGTCCTGAGATTCTGCATGTCACGAGTTTTCCTGCCTCTGTTGGTGAGAGGAGCAGGCTCTTCTGCGCTCTTAAACACTCGGTCTCTCTGTTTGGATTCCCCAGCCTACCTTCCTGCCAGGAAATAGCTTTAAATCCAGGATTTCCGCAATTCATACCTAATTTCAGAGTGATGTGGCAGTATCCTCCATGTGGAGCAGCCTTCTGTGTGGTTTTCGTCAGTGGCTCGAGCAGACAGATCAGGGCCACCGTGTTCTCACGATTGATGCTGTTTGTTCTCCCTCAAATGTGTTTCAGCATCTTGAGATCTTGTATTCTAGTACCTGTCCACGTCATTCCTCTAAAGAATCTTCAGTGAGTTTGTGCTGTCACGTTTCTCAGTGCGGAACAAAAGTACAGTGACTGATGATCTGTGTAAGATGTACCCTCAGTGTGGATTAACGTGGGATAAAGGCTGAAATGAATAAATGCATCTGCTTGTTTTCCCTGGAGCCTGTCTTTCGTGCTACATACTTAAAATGCCTTACCTAAGAAACCAGTCTCAACCTTAGATCTTTTGTGCCATCTCTTATCAAGTAATGGCTCCATGGAAGACAGATTCTTAGGAACTTCAGTTCCTTCTCACTTTTCTTACTTGGCACAGGACAGTCCACGCTGATAAGATGAGAGAAGAAAACGAGGGTGAATTTTTTTAGGAGGGCTAATGTCTGTTGTTGCAACATCTCTCTGGGAGATCTGCACTTCTGGAAAAAAAACACATCCTTAGTGCTGTGCCAGGCTTCCTTTCTGTTTGTTTTCGTTATTGCTGAGAAACTATCAGTATGGTTTCCCAGGTACCTCCAAAAAATGCTTCACAGATTATATAAAGTCCGCAGGTGGCTGTGTGGGAAACCGGACGGGCGTTTTCCCTTGAAGACGTGTGAAATCTCATTCCCTTACTATAAAGGTGATTAACTTGGGAATAAACTTGTCACCTAGCACTACCTGAGCTCACTTAAGGCATTAAGGAATTGTTGTCTGTATTTGAAGACAGGTACTGTGAAAATCAAGAGTAAGATTTGGAACTTCTTTGTGGTAGAATTGCAGAAGAACAAAAAAGGACGAATAGCAAGCATAAATGTTCTGAACAGAACATTGTCCCTGTGTTCTCCTGTCACAGGCTTTTTTGGTCCTTGGAATGTGCTTTTTACATAGGAAGGAAGAGTATTAAAATTTTTGATGACATCGTCATATATAAACAGATTTAGCTTGGTGACTCTGTCCTCCTGACTTCCAGCAGAGGAAGGCTTACTAAAAAAGAACCTAATTGACTGAAAAGCTTCTTTCTTTGGCATGCCCCTTAAGTATTTGAAACTCAGTGAAGTCAGACCCATCCTCTCTGCCAGCCTTTCTATGAGAAGTTTAGAACCTCTCACAGTAGAGACTAGGGACAAATGTTCTTTCACTTTCAAGTTACATGACATGAGTTGCTACCAGAAGGTGTTAAAGGACTGCTTTTGTGTGTGTGCTGGGTTGGTTTGTTTCTTTGGTTGGTTTTTTTGAGAAATTGACCGAATTTTACTTTCAGGGGGTTAAGAACCAGTAGTATTATTTGAAACAAAGTATAATGTAGCAAAACTTTGAGATCTTTTTCAGTTGTTTCTGCTGGTGGCTTTCATTCCTACCAAGCACTCTAGGTTCTCACCTGAGGACAGACCACTATTTGTTTTGTAAACTCAGCGTAGTTTGGTATAAACAAATCTTAACAAATGTTTATGATACATTGAGAACTCTAAAAAGATTTTCCCGGTGAGGAAAATGATTTGGAAAGTGATCAAATGAATGAAACTGAAAATTGAAACGTAAAAATGTCATGTACTTTTGTTTGAGCCAGTCTTTTTGCATGTTGGCAGGCTGTTGAACGGGCCAGGGGCTATAGTGGTGCCATTCTGCAGGGTGGTGGCCCTGCTGGTTCTACTCAGGGAGCAGTGATTTCTTTGGTTATGAGTTGTCATTGAGAGCCACAGGGAAAGAAGCGTAGCCTCTGACTTAAAACTTGAGTGGAGATAGAGCCTCTCACCACGCTGTGCTCTTAGAGGAACCGAATTTGAAGCTGATGACTAGCAATATACCAACATCTCATACATATTGTAACTCTGAATGCATCAAAAACGAAGGTGGTGATGGGGATTATAATACTCCCCGAGGTCCCCGTCTTGTGCTTTGGCTGGGCCTGCTGCGTGTTGTCCAGCTCCACCGTCCCTCTGCTCCCGTCCCTGTGTCTCCTGTAGCCTTTGTCCTCCAGCTGGGGGAAGAGAGTGGGATGGAGGGAAGGATCTCTCTGTCTGAAGGAGTAGACCAGAGCACTGTGGAAAGGGTTATGGGCTTGGGGAATAGGGTGAAGGAGGCTGATGCTGTGCCTGGACATCCAGTACGCCAAGGAGAAGAGGCAGCTTAGAACTGTTCTAGATATATAATAATAAGCAGTATAAGAAGATGCTGCCACTTCCAGCTTCACAAAAGCCTGCCGTCCTATGTTATAAACTGTTTAATAATGTCATGACACTTGTTGGAATATTATGATTTGCTGTCTGTGTACCGTAAGTCAATGTATTGGTATTGTTGTTCATGACTGGAATTTGTATTTCCTGACTAATGTTCCTGCTTAGTGGGTGTGAAAGAGAATGCCTTTTTTATAAGCAGATTTGACCTCTCTATAGTCTTTATTTGACTTATACCTTTAACCAGAAAGTTGTGTTTTCGTAGAATCATAGAATAATTTGGGTTGGAAGGGACCTTCAAAGGCCATCTAGTCCACCCCCCTGCAATGAGGTAGGATATCTTCAACTAGATTAGGTTGTTTAGAACCCTGTCCAACCTGACTGTGTATGTTTCCAGGGATGGGACATCTGCCACCTCTCTGGGCAACCTGTGCCAGTGTTTCACCACTCTGTTTGTAAAAAATGTCTTCCTTCTATCTAGTCTGAACCTACCCTCTTTTATTTTAAAACTGTTACTACGTACCCTATTGCAACAGGGCCTGCTAAAAAGTTTGTCCCCATCTTTCCTGTAGAACCCCCTTTTAAGTACTGAAAGGCCACGATAAGGTCTCTGTGGAGCCTTCTCCAGGCTGAAAGAGCCCCAACTCTCTCAGCCTGTCCTCACAGCCCACAGATCATTTTTGTGTCCCTCTTCTGGATCTGCTCCAACAGGTCCATGTCTGTCTTGTGCTGGGAACTCCAGAGCTGGATGCAGTTCTCCAGGTGGGGTCTCAACAGAGTGGAGTAGAGGGGCAGAATCCCCTCGCTCAACCTGCTGGCCACGCTGCTTTTGATCCAGCCCAGTTTTCTCTCACTTGTGGGTATTAAGATGTTCCAGCAGCTACAGTATGTCCTGGGGTAGCAACAGTGAAAGGGCACTTAAAAGACAAGGAAGTGGGGAGATCAGGCCCAATGTGAAAGAGGCGTTTGTAAAAGACAGTCAAAACAGAAAAAAGAAACAGAATAAAAAGGGCACATACCCCCTCCCCCTGTTTTCTAAGGAATGAGCAGGAAGAATTGGCTATCATTTAACTACCAAAATTTTGCTAGTGAATCAGAAGGCACTTTGATTGGAAACGTTTTATTTGAAAGTGTTCAGTTGTATACACGTGCATGTGTGTGAAAGGAGTATGTTGGACCAAGACATTCAAGTTTTTGCTTTTATTTGGATATCAGTTTTAGGAGTGCACGTGTGTGTGTGTTGAGTCCTGACTGAGTTCCGATAAAATGTTTTTTAAGTAAAGAATTTTAAGTAAGAGATTGTAGATTATTGTAGTTGTTTACTATGAAAACTTTCTTTGTAGGTTATTGCACTTAAGAATGAACATTGAAGACAAGCTGGGAGGATTATTTCTTAAATGTGGTGGCATAGACCAAATGCAGTCATCCAGGGCTATGGTAGGGATGGGTGCGGTATCTGACCAGTCTGGAGTATCGGGAGAACGGCAAGAGGCGGTGCTTCAAGATCGGACTATGGCGCACCAAGAAATTCTTGCGACAGACGAAGTGTTACAGGAAAGTGAACTTCGACAGCAAGAGATGATTTCACATGATGAACTCATGGTCCATGAGGAGACGGTAAAAAATGATGATGACATGGATGCGCAAGATAGACTTCCTCAAGGGCTGCAGTATGCTGTTAATGTCCCTGTAAGCAATTTCTTTATGAAATATTGGAGAAATTACTAGGAAGCTTGATCTGGTAGTCTAATCCTACTCTGGCAAGAATCTATTAATTGCTTGTTTGGATTTTGATTATCAAAATATTTATGAATGGATGCTATTTATGAAGATGTCATTTGCCTCTGGCTGTGGATAAATTTTGCCAATTAAGTATAATCTTTAAGTATCTGTTTTATAAATATTTTATAAGCAGGCTGTTACCATAGAATTAATGCCTTAAACTGTGCTCTTTTAAATATATTTAATGTTCAAGAGTAACTACAAACCAGAGTAAATAGCGTTATTAAAAGGTGCATACTGTTTATGCTGTTCATAGTGCTATTTAGTTTCTTTTGCTATAGGAAGCATCTTGTATGTTTTCAGAGTATGTGGACGCTTAGCAATTGCATTCACACTGCAGGTTGGACTGTGACACTTCATACATGACCATAAATATGCCCCTCCTCAATATCTCATAGAAGGCCTACCTCAGCTTTCCCAGAGAGAATATAGATGACTTCCTTTTTGAAAACAGAACATCTATCTGGAATGCAGCACATCATCACTGTTACCCTTCAAACATAAAGGAGAATTACCAGGACTTTAAAAGTAGATAGCCTTATATACAAAGAATAATCATTAGAAAGGTAGCGTTGTTAAAACACTACTCTGTTAGCTGTAGATCAGGTGTTTCAGGTGTTAGAAAAATGTAAGAGTATCATGCTCTTTATTACATGAGATTATTTTTTTGGAAAAAACTTCATTAGCACTATTTTTGTTTTCTTAACAAATACTTCTGTCTTAAATATATGATAAACTATTCCGTTTAAATCTTGCATTGACAACACGTGGACTAAAGTAAAATAGGTATGAAAAACTGAATGGTTTTACAGATGGAAGTGATTTTAATATAAGAACTGATCTCAAAATCACCACAGGTCAGAAGGAGAAAAGACTTTGGGAGATGAATGAAAGGATACATCAAAATGTCACTGTAGAAATTAACTATGCCCTTTTTATTCCTTTCACTTAAATTTCTGAAAGAATGAAGCCACAAGATAATTCCCTTAGAAAAAGGTTTTCTGTTTCAGCAGTTTGTCATCTTCTAAAATTGAAAAATTGCTTTTCTGTAGTGAGAACCTTACCTGAAACTGGCACTTGGTATCTTAACAGATCAGTGTAAAGCAAGAAATTACCTTTACTGATGCATCTGAACAACAGAAACGAGACAAAAAACAAATACGAGAGCCAGTAGATTTGCAGAAAAAGAAGAAAAGAAAACAGCGTTCACCAGCAAAAGTAAGACATTGATTTGGCAAAACCAAGATTAAAAGAACCTGAAGATTTGGTTGACTATGACTAATTTCACTAGCATTTGAAGTAGTTAGGCTGGAAATTGTTTGTTTGATCAGTGAAGATGCAGTTCTGAAGTTCACCAGAGACCCAAAACAAAATCTGATATAACAGTGTTTTTCTTTGAACTCTTTTTAGCAACATGAACCCTTGACATATTTTAACATCTGTCTCTCCAGGCAGTTCTTTCTCCAAATATTTTTTTTTTAAATTGTGAGTCAGTAGCTTTGTAGACAATTTATAAATCATTTCTCTGTATCTATCTAATAATAGCTGTGCTTTTCTGTGAGCCTGATAATTTTATATGCTTCATGCATAGTAGTGAAAAGATTTTAAAAAGAAATCTAAAATGGTAGTTTTGAAAGTTCTAAAAAGTTTACTAATATATATAAAATAATTTTCCAGTAGGGAATATTCCTGTGGTCATAATCATCTTCATATATGTATTTATTTATATCAAAAGATTCTTACCATAGCTGCTGGTTTGTTACTTCAAAATTTGTTTTGTAGATCCATTCATGAAGAGTATGTATCCCTGTATGTCTGAAAACAATTTTCTTCTATTGAGACGCACTTCAGATAAAACCAGACTCATTTCACCTCATGAGGTAGCAGTGTTATATCTTCTAGTAATTCCCCAAATCACTATTAATCTTCAGACTTAAAATAGAACGTATACAGGCTGCTCTGATAGGCAAAAATCAGTTATATGTGATCACACAGCAGCATTAAAATAAGCCTGCTTTGAAATCGACCCAGACCGTGTATACATTGAAGGAAAACTCACCCTAACACCAAGAAAAGCTCCAAAATCTCCTTTTTATTGGTCTTTGAGTGGAACCTCTCAGTCCTCCTCAAAGCACTGGCTGCACCTGTAGTATTCTTGGAAAGTTGAGAAATTGTTTCAGATTGGGTATGGAAGCAAGTTCCAAATCCTGTGCATCAAGATGCTTCTCCCTTGGACAGAAAAAGGAGATGTAGGTTGAGTACCTCCAGAGATCACTTCCATGGAAACATGGCAAGGTAGGAGAGGTGTGTCCCTCTTCCTACAGACAAGTACTTGCATGCTTCCTTTTTATCTCCCAATCTGTCAGCGTTAGCCTTTGGAGATGACAAAAGATTGAAAAATGTTCAGGAGAATCATTAAACAGGTTCTTTTTCAGTGTCTCTTCCCCTTTTTTCAAGGTTGTCAGATTAGAAAGGCAGAGAGAAGCTGAAGGACTGACATAGGTGAGAGCCTACTGCAGTTTAATTTAGTATTCCCAGAGTAATGGGATTGATTTTCCATCCAAATGGTAGCTGGGACTTTTATAAATGGAAGTCAATTACTGAAACATTTTAGACTTTATTTTATATTAATATAGCCATCATATAACTTAAAAGTCAATAGCTTTTATGAATCCTGGCTACTTTTCACTCTTCCATGCACACAAACACAGGCACACGCATACACACACGTGAACGCATACACGCATGCACACGCATAAGCTTTTTTTTTTTTGCTTTTATTAGGGAAACTGCATTGACAAAGTTAACTTTCTTCATTTAAGAAGTGGTACAATGGATGGATGCAGTAGAAGAGCCCAGGCTTAGGATAACTGTGAAATTAATTTCTGCACAATTATTTTAAAATTCCAATACGCTATGTGGCAAACATTTCATAACATGTATTTAAATTCATTTTAAGTAACCAGTCAGTGTTTCATTAGCTGTATGTTGTTACAGAACAGAGTTTTTATACTTGTCTGTATCTGTGACTTACTGGAGCTGTAACACACCGATCTGACACACGTATGAATGTGCTTGTCCTTCAGAGTGAATGCACAAGAATTTGTTAGCTTGAGACTTTCACTCTTTGCTGAGTTTTGATGGAGCAGAATTAAAAATTGTTTAAGTAGATCCCACAGTATTTGCTCCTGTTGCAGAGATACTATTTCAGTTGTTGACTCTCTCTTTCTCATCACTGTCATTATCATAAAACCTAAATCAATGTAGCTAATTACATTGCAGATGTGTTTCCCCAGCAGACTTTTAATTTTTGTTAATAACAAGGGACTAAACTGTTTTACTTAAGGTTACTTAAGCTCCTCTTTATTAGTTCTGTTTCCAGTTAAATAAGACTTTTGGAAATGTAATTTGTTTACTGGTTTTCTTATTCTCTTGCCAGAGATAATAGAGAGCTTGGGGTTTGTTTTTTTTAATTTTTGACAAATTAGAGAAAACCTGTGATGAGGCTTATTGAATAAGGTAGATATGGTGCTATTTTTTTTTCATTTATGTTTTTCGACTTTATATGAAAATAGCGGCTTTGTTTGACATCAAAGCAATTGAGTGTGGCAAGTTGAATTTGTCAAGGAGATGCTCTAATATGTATATTGAGTGAGCAATATTTTGTTGAGTGAAAAACTTGAAAGGGGAAAAGAATGATACTATTTTCTTGGTTGTTTGGCTTTGGGGTTTTGGTTTTTAAAGTAAAATTTTGCCTCTGAGACTATTGGTATTATGTAGATGTAGATAATTTGTATGACTATCCTGGATAAGTTTTAATGCCTTTTAGCAAACATTTACAGTCGTGATTTGAAAAAAGAATATAACTTTTTGCTTTTGCTTTAAAATGTGATTATCCATGGTTCAGTGCCCAGAGGTGGTTTGGTTACTTTGCGTCCTTTCCAACAGATGGACAAAGTAAACAGTAGCATATAAAGTGACTCAGCTGTGAATAGGGGAGCTCTAAGCTGATTTTCCATTAGCTGCTTTTGTCTCTGTCCTGCTGAAATATCTCTTAATGCACAAGGAGACGCAAGTTGGATTGGACAGCAATTGGAAATGTATCCTAAAAGCCTAACACGTAGCTCTGTAGAAATTAGCATTGTTTTACCTGAAATATTTAAATTTTCTGCATCGAAAAAATTAATGTTTTTTTTTTTTTTTTGTAGTTAATAAGACATCTTTAGAGGGTAGTGTGAGAACAAATTTTACTCTTTTTAAAATAGATCCTTACAATAAATGAGGATGGATCACTTGGTCTGAAAACCCACAAATCTCATGTTTGTGAGCATTGCAATGCTGCCTTTAGAACCAACTACCATTTACAGAGACATGTCTTCATTCATACAGGTACTGCTTGACTTCAAATTTGTCTTTTCTACTATATAAAGAGTTGTTTACTTATGTTAAAAATGTTTTCAGCTCTATGCGAATTTCAGTTTTATGAGTGTAGCTAACTTGGCATCTAAGCTTAGAGATTCCATGCACCAAAGTGTCAAAAGAATACCAGAAAAAAAAAAAAAAAATCAACATATGTTTAATAAACTGAAGACCTAACTGTTTACAAGGTTTCTTTTCTTTCTTTATCAGAAAGTAATGGGTTGACTTGTAGCCTAAGTGCCAAAATTGACCCCTTTGTAAAATGTGCTCCGGCTGCTTATTTGCCTGATGAGGTATCTCTCTGGTTCGGAGAAGTGAAAAAGGTACTTACTATTATAATAGCTTGCCAGTATCCTGAATGCAGTCTTATGCCAGCATCGTGATTGATCTTGTTCATGAGGAAATTACAACCATTTCAGATCACTCTTCCGTTCTAGTCTTAATGTGACTCTTAGGATCATGGAAAGAATTCTGCAGTTCATATACTTAGTAAGGCTAATGGTTTTTTTTTTTTGGTATTAGAGTATTTTTGGAATTCGCTCAGATGCTGGTTTTTTAATAGACTTTTTAATATTCCTCAAAAGTAGTTATCAAAACCAACAGTGTGTAGTTATTAACTCACGGATGTGGAATTATATTGTTCAAGGTGAAAAACCATTTCAGTGCAGTCAGTGCGACATGCGTTTCATACAGAAGTACCTGCTACAGAGGCATGAGAAGATTCATACTGGTGAGTATAGTGCCTTGAGTATCTTTACTGGCGTGCTTAAAAACTGTTTCCCCACTCAGGCAAGGTTTCTGGTAATAAGTATGCAGCCTTAAAACCCTGTTGTAGTTTGTTTTAACTTAACAGATGTCATAAAACTTTTAAAAACAAATCGGTTTTGTGCTTTCAACTTGCTCCATTTTTCCTTGGCTATAAAGTGAGTATAAACTCAAGTAAGCGGATCTGAAAGCAGTATTCTATAAATAACCCCCCGAGTAGCAAATCCTGAAGTCTGTGCTTTCATAAAACTCGAAAGTTTGTTAAGCAGTTCCATCTTTTGTTGTATCAAGTTAACTCAGGCAACAGGGACTTCCAAATTACATTTCAGTAGATTTATTCATTATTTATTAATTTTGGACTTTGGTGGAAAAGTGCCAGGACTAAAATGGCCAAAATGCCTAACCCCAAAGGTATTAGTATCAGCTTTACTTCTCACTTTTTTTTTTTTTTGGTGAAAGATTTAAATCAGAACTGGTTTAAAAATACGAGCCTTAGTTTAAAAATATGCAGTATAGGTCAAATAAGGCCCAAAGTTTTAAGCCAAAGAGAGTTAAAGTTTATACGTGTTTAGGTTTTTTTATCTTCTTGCACCGCACAAAACCACATTCTTGAACAGGTTTGGCTTAGTTGGGTTTTTGGCATTTTGGTGCATGGCCTTTCAATCCCTCTTTAAATATTTTGTAATATGGTCCCTTTGGACGAGATGCCAATTTCTCAGCCTCTTTTTCCGAAAAGCAGAGCTGGTGAATGTGCACAGTGTTTCTTGGCTGGAGCATTTAAATGGATATGAAAGCTACTAACACGCAGCGCAGTGTGTGCATGTGGAAGAGTTGAGAGGGAGGAAAAAAAAAAAAAACCCCTCTGCAAAATGAATTTTCAGAGCAGTGTACAGGGAGTTACATGCACAAATGCCCTGTTGTTTATGGGATTTTTGTATCCTAGGTTGCCATGAGTCCAGACTAAGTAGGTTTCCTTCAGCCAGTCAGCCACAGAAGAGTCCTCCATTCTTCTGTCCAGTGTCTTTGTTCTGCTCCTAGTCTTTCCTCTGGCTCTGAATTGGTGAACCATGCTGCCTTCACTTTCTGTAGATATTATTCTTGAAAAGAATGTTCATTCACTCTCTTCCATCTATCTGCCCGCTCTCCCTCTTCCCCCCCCCTCAAAAAAAAGGCAAAAATTTAAGTGCAGTCTCCACATTTTTCAGATTTTTTTTAAAAAAATGAGGACTATTCCCTGTACGTGGCTTTGAAAATGAGAGTCTGGGCGATATAGTTAATTAACACTTGACTGAAAATATTTTATAAATGGATGTAATTATCTTTTTAAATTGAACTTGTAGCTCTAATGAGAGTTCTGTGTTGATTGTAAGCTTTGGAGGGAGGGTGCGTGGTGGGGGGGGGTTGCAGGGTTTTTTTTGCCAGCTCTCACATGTACTGGTCTTTGTTTAGCAGAGCATAAGCTGCTGTTTAACAAATTAACCATATTGTTATCTGACTTTTTACATACCTATGTTTTCCTCCTTTCCTCAGCTTCCTGAGATATAATTTGGTTGTTTCTTAGGAAATTGAAGATGGGGATTGTGTTTAAATGGTTGAATTGGGTGTTTTCCTGGGTGACAACTAGTAGCTGGGTAAGAGAAAACATATAAGACCCAGCTTCCAGGAGTGGAAAAAGTTGGGTTTTTTAAGTCATTTAGTTAGTGAGTATTTGACTGCTGCTTAATTTTTGACTTGGCCCAGTCACTGTATAGCTGATAGGCATTCTGCACACCTGCCTGTGCTTTCACATCTATATGACAATAGTCCCTCCTGGGCCGTAGCTGTTTGTGTAGGGCTGCTCCATATTCAGGACTGCATAATTGAACCCATCCAGAAAAGCTGAATTTTCAGCTGGCTTCTCTCACCAGAAGGTGAGCAGTGGGTGTGTGTTTCACTTTGATGGAAGTAAAAGAAGGCTCTCTTTGTATTATTCATACTCTTTTAAGAAATATTCCTTATAAATTCAATATTGGGTTTTTTTTTCTTTTTATTTTGCTTTTTTTATCTCTCTGAATGACCGCTGTTAGCACCAGCTTTTGTACAGTCTTCAAAACACTGATGAAGAACAGGAAGTTTCTTACTTTTTTTAAAGATGTTTATCAATTTTTCCAGTTTATTTTATGCCAGTTGAAGATAGTGGTTACACTTAAAAGCCCCATTTTATGCCAGTTTCAAGCCATGAATTTACAGGTGCTCCAGTGTGATTTGAATTTGGTTCTCTGAACCACTCCTTCAAATGAAATGTTATGAGGGAGTTAGGAAGCAATCAATGAACAGCCTTATTCTGTGTAAATAATTAAATAGTTGCATCTAAAAGCAGACATTGCATTAAAAGAAAATTCACTTACTAGAAATAACTGTATGCAGAGGAGGGCAGCAGTGATAGAGCCCTGCTGCTAAACTTGTCACTAATGGTACAAGAAAATCACCATTCAGTTTGTAAGAGAAGGAAGAGTCACATACACAAATATTTTCATATTTTGAGTTTACTATGCTCATAAACATGCTGAATGTTCCAATGTCTGCTTTCTTTTTGCTTAGAGACGTGTTTATACACCTTACCCACTCATGCATTCATGTGTCCTAATTCCGAACCCCACCCTACTTACCATTTTAAACGCAAAAAAATGAGATTACTTTTAAAAAAAAAATAAAGCAACATTGGGGCTAACAATTCAAGCTCCTTATTATTCAGTCATGCTGCTTTTTTATTGCCTTCTTTGGTATTTTATAGTTTGTATTTTCTCTGTTTAGTTTTTAAAATGCCTGGGGTGTGGTATTTTATAGTTTGTATTATCTCTGTTTAGTTTTTAAAATGCCTGGGGTGTTATAATTGTTACAGCCTTCATACACATAGTATTTGTACTGCACTTTACAAATAATTCTATTGCTCAATTTTAATAGATTTCCAACACAAAACATAGGCTGTTTTCATAAATAATGCATTTAATTATTGTGTTGTATTTTTAAATTTTGACTTTTTTTTTCCTATATCTGATTCTTTCCCGCTCACCGAGACATTTCATAAAAATGTGTTGTAGATGCTCCCTACATTAGCAAAAGGTTATTATTAACGATCTCATCCATTTGCAATAGATCCTGTTTGAAAAGTACAGTAAGTTTTCAGAAGGCATCTGAAGTTTCAGGCTTCTGATAGGAAAAAATTATTGTAGGAAGCATATCTTCATATTAATTTTTAATCTTTTTCTAATATTATCTTCCTTATGAAGATTAAAGCAAGAATTAAGTCTAGTATCAGGTTCACAAAGGGTTTCTTAATCTTACTTCCAGAGTGTTCTGGAATTCTACTGCAAAAATATTATGTTCTGTGCTGTACTGAATAATTCCAGGGCAGGGTCCCCAAACTTTTCTTCCTGTTGAGGCATGGCCAGCAGTGCCTTCGTGTGTAGTCTCAAAGTCTCCCAAATAGCTGCTGCTGGTGGTGGTATCCTACAATGGAAAACCTCAGAAGCCCTGTTTGGCCCTATTTAAGCTTTGAAAAGGGAACAAATAGCCAGGAGAGTCTGCTGCCAGTAAATAGCCAGCTCCAGTAGACAAACATTAAGGAGCTCTGTGACCATTCACTTGCAGGAGTAGGTATAAGGCTGAAGGTAAGTCTATCATGAAGTGCTCTGCATTTGAGCCTTCCTGGGGTAGCAGGATGGCTCCTTAGAGGGCTCTTCAGAGCTAGAACAGGACTCAGCTGTCTTGCTTCTCTGACTGGGTTTGCCTTCTGCAAGGCTCAGGGTAGTTTTCATCTCAAACAGCTGCTCTAATAAAGTTTTAAGATGTGAAAGCAAACTTCCAGACAACATAAGGAGAGTAGTTCAAAGGGGCGACTTAAAAGGAACACAGAGTAGAATAGTGGAGCAGAATAGGGAAAGAAAACAGTAAGTAATAAGGATTAAATAGTTGTCTTTGGTAATGGAAGGGTTCCCGTGTATTCAACTAGAACACCACCACAGTAGTAAGGGTGTACTGATGGGTAAAGCAAACATGAAGAATGAAGCTGGAGTTTGAAAGTTGAGAGTTAGGCCAGAGAGGAGGATTTGCTTGTAGACAGTTTTAGAGAGAGTGATATGATAGGCATTATAATTTATAAAGGATGCTGAAAAAAGCAAGGAAAGGTAAAAGTTAGTCTCTGTCTAAATGTGAACGAAGAGTTAGGATACTGAGGTTGTGAGCCTCTAAAAGAAGAACTGATGGAAGCTGAAAGATCTTAAGAAAGGAGATAATTCGGTTTAGGAGAAAATAAATTGGAATAATTTCATCCAGGAAAGGGATTGGCTAAGAAGCCACATGGAGAAGTAAGAATTGATAATTGAAAATAGGGCATAGGCATACAAAGAGAGAGATTTAGAAATTACTTGGAATTAAGAAGGTTGAAAGGTTGAGCAAATTTGTGGGTGGTATTTTCCATTCTAGTTTCTATAAATACTGGCATCTTAAGGTACCCTGTTTCCGTTTGTAGAAGGATGTGGCTATATATCTCTATGCTAAATGGAAAATATGCACTCTATCAACATTTTAAATAATAAAATAAAATATATTAACATTTTAATAATTAATTATTACTAATAATTTTTAAAAATTAGTTAAAAAACAATTTTAAAGACTACCTCAGAAAAAGGAGGAATAGTCTGCATATTTCTGGATACAAAATGTAGATGGTTTATATCCCCCAGATCAGTGGAGTACAGTATCCAGAACAAAGAGGATGTTGACAGATGCTGCCAAGACAATTCCTGATCTCTGTGTCAGTTCAAAAGATTTCATAGTAAATACTAAGGGGAAAAGTCACTGTTTTTCAGGGTGAGTTCTATTAAATAATAGTGAATTTGTAAACGCAAACCTGACTTTCCAGTGCACTTGGAATTTTGGGGTTTTGTCAGAGAAACCTAGAAAATAAAATCAGAGGGAAGCTGTAAGGCAGAAGTTAAAAGAAATATAGAGTTACTACATGTTCTGAAAGGATCATCGCAGGGCTTCTTTGAGACAAAAAATAAGGGGAGAACTGAAGATGAATTCAGGGCAATGAATATTGTCTGAACAAATATTTAATGAAAGTAAACACCGAAACAAACAAACACAACAGCCAAACAGAAAAACTTGTGCGTTTGCCAGCGTCAGTTCAGCTGCAGGGGTTTCTTGTTTTCAGCTTAATTTCTTAAATAAAATCTTTTAAAATGAATTAATTATTTTGAAAAACTAAAATAAAATAAATAAATGTGGATTCTAACCAAAATTTTAGGGTTTTTTTTCAGGTTTGTTTCAGTTACAAATACAGATCGGGGGGAAATACAGAAAATACAGAGTCCCCTACAAAAATTTTAAATTAAAAGCTTGGAAATGCATAATTCTCTTCTAGAAGGGATGGGTTTGAGTTAAATGAGTTGGTGAGAGAACTGAGGTATTTTTATACAATCCTCTATCCTTAAAAAATTATGTAGCAGCAGTTTAGGAAAGCTATCTTTGTAGTTCTTCATTTGCTAGGTTTGAGGCAGATATCTGCACCTACATTAAAAAGAGAGGGAGAGAACTTGGTTTTAAAGGTTTTTAGTGTAAAAGCTTACAATAATTTTGAAGCATCAGTTACTGAGTCCTGGGAAAAGAGTGAAGTGAGCAAGCCCTATGTTATTTTTCAATAGCAACAGACTAAGACCTCTTCTTTATTACTGGTAATAGTGAATGTATTATTTGACCTGGTAATTGTATGGAAGGACATTGATTTATTTATTTTTTTTTAGATTAATATTGCTACATGTTTTTTATCAGGTGAGAAGCCATTTCGTTGTGATGAATGTGGTATGAGGTTTATTCAGAAATATCACATGGAAAGGCACAAAAGAACTCACAGTGGAGAGAAGCCTTACCAGTGTGAATATTGTTTGCAGGTAAGATGACTTAGTGAGATCTTTTGCAATTAAAAAAACAAAACACCAGTCAACTCCCAAGCAGTACAGATTGGACTTTTTCTGGGTGTTGTAATCGTGTGCATCCAAATAAATGTATAAAGAATGTTTTTTCTGTTAAGGTGGGTGGCCTTGGTTCACTCTCTGCGCTTGATTTTATTGATTATATATTGTTTGACACTTCACTAGAAGTCGGTAAAGCGGATGAATTGTCAAGTAAATTTGATAGAATGAAAGATTTCTTTTCTTTCTGCTAATATATTTATTATTTCTATAATACTAATACAAATCTTTTGCAGTTTTTCTCCAGGACTGATCGGGTGCTGAAACATAAACGTATGTGCCATGAGAACCGCGACAAGAAACCGAATAGAAGCGTCACCAAAGTTGGCTTTTTGCCATCGGAGGAAGATTCTGGTTTCTCGATGCCTATGAAAGACAGCTCCTTGCCAAAGAAAAAAAGGCAGAAATCAGAGAAAATGAAGTCTGGCGATAAGGATAGCACAGATAAATCAGACCAGAAGAAGGACAAAAACGACTATTTGCCTTTGTACTCTTCTAGCACTAAAGTAAAAGATGAGTATATGGTAGCGGAATATGCCGTTGAGATGCCACATTCTTCGGTCAGTGGGACGCACTTAGAAGAAGCAAATTCTGGAGAGATACACCCACCCAAGCTCGTTCTCAAAAAAGTTAACAGCAAGAGGAGTCTGAAACAGCCACTTGAGCAAAGTCAAACCATTTCACCTTTATCCACGTATGAGGACAACAAGGTTTCCAAGTATGCCTTTGATCTTGTGGATAAGCAGAGTTTACTGGACTCTGAAGGTAATGCTGACATTGATCAAGTTGACACGTTACAGGAAGGGCCCAGTAAACCTGTACACAGCAGCACTAATTACGATGATGCAATGCAATTTTTAAAGAAAAAGAGGTATCTACAAGCAGCTAGTAATAGCAGTAGAGAATATGCCTTGAATGTAAGTACCATAGCATCTCAACCTTCAGTAACGCAGGCAGCTGTGGCCAGCGTCATTGATGAAACTGCTACAGCCTCAATATTGGACACACAGGCACTGAATGTTGAAATGAAAGGTAACCATGACAAAAATGTCATTCCAGATGAGGTACTGCAAACTCTGTTAGATCATTATTCGCACAAGGCTAATGGACAGCATGAGATATCTTTCAGTGTGGCTGACACTGAGGTGACCTCCAGTATATCAATCAATTCTTCTGAAGTATCTGAGGTCACCCAATCTGAGACAGTTGGCACAAGCTCTCAAGCTTCCTCATCAGATAAAGCTAGTATGTTACAAGAATATTCAAAGTTTTTACAACAAGCTTTGGACAGAACTAGCCAAAATGATGCCTATTTGAACAACCCGAGCCTTAATTTTGTGACTGATAACCAGACTCTTACAACCCAGCCAGCATTTCCTTCCATGGAGAAGGTCTACACGTCTATACCCGTCAATAGCTTTCGATCGGGAATGAGCTCTCCATTAAGAACAACTCCAGACAAGTCTCATTTTGGACTAATGGTTACTGATTCGCAGCACCCTTTTCCCTTTTCAGGTGACGAGGCAAATCATTCTTCTTCCTCCTCTACACAGGACTTCTTAGATCAAGTAACTTCTCAGAAGAAAGCAGAGGCGCAGCCTGTTCATCAAGCATATCAAATTAGCTCCTTTGAGCAGCCCTTTAGAGCTCAGTTCCATGGGGCAAGAGCTGGAATGTCATCTCAGTTTAGCACTGCCAATGGACAGGTGAACCTCCGGGGACCAGGGACAAGTGCTGATTTCCCAGAATTTCCCTTGGTGAATGTAAACGATAGCAGGGCGGGGATGACTTCTTCACCTGATGCCACAACGGGCCAGACTTTTGGCTAAGAAATCTTTGTACATAATACTGGCACTTTAGAACACATTTGTCAAAAGAGGGTTGCTCTGTATAAGATGGAGTTCTGTACAGCTTTTAAGAGCGCTATGTTAAAACAAAAGTAAGCTGATATTAGCAAGACCAATAACTGCTTCTTTCTTTTGTTGGTTTTTTTTTTTTGTTTTTTTTTTTGTTTGGGTTAGTCACCAGTCATTGCATTGAACTGCCTGATGTTGGTGCCCTGATCAAAGGCAGTTTATTATTCACTTGTTTGAATCCAGAAAATATTTTACCTTTTATGAAATTTAAAATAAACAAAATCCCCAGGTAAGACTTTTCCCCCAGGATTGTTTCCTTACTGGTTTCCTTGTATGCTTTGGGAGGACAGTTTATTGTCTGATACTATTCATATTGTCATTTCTAAGCTTGTCAGCGTAGTCATTGCTCTTCAGCAGGGAAAACATGAAGAATGAAGCTGGAGTTTGAAAGTTGAGAGTTAGGCCAGAGAGGAGGATTTGCTTGTAGACAGTTTTAGAGAGAGTGATATGATAGGCATTATAATTTATAAAGGATGCTGAAAAAAGCAAGAAACGGTAAAAGTTAGTCTCTGTCTAAATGTGAACGAAGAGTTAGGATACTGAGGTTGTGAGCCTCTAAAAGAAGAACTGATGGAAGCTGAAAGATCTTAAGAAAGGAGATAATTTGGTTTAGGAGAAAATAAATTGGAATAATTTCATCCAAGAAAGGGATTGGCTAAGAAGCCACATGGAGAAGTAAGAATTGATAATTGAAAATAGGGCATAGGCATACAAAGAGAGAGATTTAGAAATTACTTGGAATTAAGAAGGTTGAAAGGTTGAGCAAATTTGTGGGTGGTATTTTCCATTCTAGTTTCTATAAATACTGGCATCTTAAGGTACCCTGTTTCCGTTTGTAGAAGGATGTGGCTATATATCTCTATGCTAAATGGAAAATATGCACTCTATCAACATTTTAAATAATAAAATAAAATATATTAACATTTTAATAATTCATTATTACTAATAATTTTAAAAAATTAGTTAAAAAACAATTTTAAAGGCTAAAACTACCTCAGAAAAAATAAGAATAGTCTGCATTTTTCTGGAAACAAAAGGTGGATGGTTTATATCCCCCAGATCAGTGGAGTACAGTATCCAGAACAAAGAGGATGTTGACAGATGCTGCCAAGACAATTCCTGATCTCTGTGTCAGTTCAAAAGATTTCATAGTAAATACTAAGGGGAAAAGTCACTGTTTTTCAGGGTGAGTTCTATTAAATAATAGTGAATTTGTAAACGCAAACCTGACTTTCCAGTGCACTTGGAATTTTGGGGTTTTGTCAGAGAAACCTAGAAAATAAAATCAGAGGGAAGCTGTAAGGCAGAAGTTAAAAGAAATATAGAGTTACTACATGTTCTGAAAGGATCATTGCAGGGCTTCTTTGAGACAAAAAATAAGGGGAGAACTGAAGATGAATTCAGGGCAATGAATATTGTCTGAACAAATATTTAATGAAAGTAAACACCGAAACAAACAAACACAACAGCCAAACAGAAAAACTTGTGCGTTTGCCAGCGTCAGTTCAGCTGCAGGGGTTTCTTGTTTTCAGCTTAATTTCTTAAATAAAATCTTTTAAAATGAATTAATTATTTTGAAAAACTAAAATAAAATAAATAAATGTGGATTCTAACCAAAATTTTAGGGTTTTTTTTCAGGTTTGTTTCAGTTACAAATACAGATCGGGGGGAAATACAGAAAATACAGAGTCCCCTACAAAAATTTTAAATTAAAAGCTTGGAAATGCATAATTCTCTTCTAGAAGGGATGGGTTTGAGTTAAATGAGTTGGTGAGAGAACTGAGGTATTTTTATACAATCCTCTATCCTTAAAAAATTATGTAGCAGCAGTTTAGGAAAGCTATCTTTGTAGTTCTTCATTTGCTAGGTTTGAGGCAGATATCTGCACCTACATTAAAAAGAGAGGGAGAGAACTTGGTTTTAAAGATTTTTAGTGTAAAAGCTTACAATAATTTTGAAGCATCAGTTACTGAGTCCTGGGAAAAGAGTGAAGTGAGCAAGCCCTATGTTATTTTTCAATAGCAACAGACTAAGACCTCTTCTTTATTACTGGTAATAGTGAATGTATTATTTGACCTGGTAATTGTATGGAAGGACATTGATTTATTTATTTTTTTTTAGATTAATATTGCTACATGTTTTTTATCAGGTGAGAAGCCATTTCGTTGTGATGAATGTGGTATGAGGTTTATTCAGAAATATCACATGGAAAGGCACAAAAGAACTCACAGTGGAGAGAAGCCTTACCAGTGTGAATATTGTTTGCAGGTAAGATGACTTAGTGAGATCTTTTGCAATTAAAAAAACAAAACACCAGTCAACTCCCAAGCAGTACAGATTGGACTTTTTCTGGGTGTTGTAATCGTGTGCATCCAAATAAATGTATAAAGAATGTTTTTTCTGTTAAGGTGGGTGGCCTTGGTTCACTCTCTGCGCTTGATTTTATTGATTATATATTGTTTGACACTTCACTAGAAGTCGGTAAAGTGGATGAATTGTCAAGTAAATTTGATAGAATGAAAGATTTCTTTTCTTTCTGCTAATATATTTATTATTTCTATAATACTAATACAAATCTTTTGCAGTTTTTCTCCAGGACTGATCGGGTGCTGAAACATAAACGTATGTGCCATGAGAACCGCGACAAGAAACCGAATAGAAGCGTCACCAAAGTTGGCTTTTTGCCATCGGAGGAAGATTCTGGTTTCTCGATGCCTATGAAAGACAGCTCCTTGCCAAAGAAAAAAAGGCAGAAATCAGAGAAAATGAAGTCTGGCGATAAGGATAGCACAGATAAATCAGACCAGAAGAAGGACAAAAACGACTATTTGCCTTTGTACTCTTCTAGCACTAAAGTAAAAGATGAGTATATGGTAGCGGAATATGCCGTTGAGATGCCACATTCTTCGGTCAGTGGGACGCACTTAGAAGAAGCAAATTCTGGAGAGATACACCCACCCAAGCTCGTTCTCAAAAAAGTTAACAGCAAGAGGAGTCTGAAACAGCCACTTGAGCAAAGTCAAACCATTTCACCTTTATCCACGTATGAGGACAACAAGGTTTCCAAGTATGCCTTTGATCTTGTGGATAAGCAGAGTTTACTGGACTCTGAAGGTAATGCTGACATTGATCAAGTTGACACGTTACAGGAAGGGCCCAGTAAACCTGTACACAGCAGCACTAATTACGATGATGCAATGCAATTTTTAAAGAAAAAGAGGTATCTACAAGCAGCTAGTAATAGCAGTAGAGAATATGCCTTGAATGTAAGTACCATAGCATCTCAACCTTCAGTAACGCAGGCAGCTGTGGCCAGCGTCATTGATGAAACTGCTACAGCCTCAATATTGGACACACAGGCACTGAATGTTGAAATGAAAGGTAACCATGACAAAAATGTCATTCCAGATGAGGTACTGCAAACTCTGTTAGATCATTATTCGCACAAGGCTAATGGACAGCATGAGATATCTTTCAGTGTGGCTGACACTGAGGTGACCTCCAGTATATCAATCAATTCTTCTGAAGTATCTGAGGTCACCCAATCTGAGACAGTTGGCACAAGCTCTCAAGCTTCCTCATCAGATAAAGCTAGTATGTTACAAGAATATTCAAAGTTTTTACAACAAGCTTTGGACAGAACTAGCCAAAATGATGCCTATTTGAACAACCCGAGCCTTAATTTTGTGACTGATAACCAGACTCTTACAACCCAGCCAGCATTTCCTTCCATGGAGAAGGTCTACACGTCTATACCCGTCAATAGCTTTCGATCGGGAATGAGCTCTCCATTAAGAACAACTCCAGACAAGTCTCATTTTGGACTAATGGTTACTGATTCGCAGCACCCTTTTCCCTTTTCAGGTGACGAGGCAAATCATTCTTCTTCCTCCTCTACACAGGACTTCTTAGATCAAGTAACTTCTCAGAAGAAAGCAGAGGCGCAGCCTGTTCATCAAGCATATCAAATTAGCTCCTTTGAGCAGCCCTTTAGAGCTCAGTTCCATGGGGCAAGAGCTGGAATGTCATCTCAGTTTAGCACTGCCAATGGACAGGTGAACCTCCGGGGACCAGGGACAAGTGCTGATTTCCCAGAATTTCCCTTGGTGAATGTAAACGATAGCAGGGCGGGGATGACTTCTTCACCTGATGCCACAACGGGCCAGACTTTTGGCTAAGAAATCTTTGTACATAATACTGGCACTTTAGAACACATTTGTCAAAAGAGGGTTGCTCTGTATAAGATGGAGTTCTGTACAGCTTTTAAGAGCGCTATGTTAAAACAAAAGTAAGCTGATATTAGCAAGACCAATAACTGCTTCTTTCTTTTGTTGGTTTTTTTTTTTGTTTTTTTTTTTTTTTTTTTTTTTTTTTTTTTTTTTTTTTTTTTTTTTTTTTTTTTTTTTTTTTTTGTTTGGGTTAGTCACCAGTCATTGCATTGAACTGCCTGATGTTGGTGCCCTGATCAAAGGCAGTTTATTATTCACTTGTTTGAATCCAGAAAATATTTTACCTTTTATGAAATTTAAAATAAACAAAATCCCCAGGTAAGACTTTTCCCCCAGGATTGTTTCCTTACTGGTTTCCTTGTATGCTTTGGGAGGACAGTTTATTGTCTGATACTATTCATATTGTCATTTCTAAGCTTGTCAGCGTAGTCATTGCTCTTCAGCAGGGAATTGACATAAACACATAGAATAAACAAGAAGTTTCCAAGTCAAGCAAATACTGCTTTAAAATACGGAATTTTCTAGAAAAAAAAAAATCTTTCTTCCATCTCTCTCAAAAAATAATTTTAGACCATGTGCCCTTTATTTCTGCTTTGCATTACCTTGAGTTGTGTTTGGTGGAAAAAATGAATTCTGAAAGACTAACTCTACTATTTAAAAGTCTAATTAATTTAAAATACTTTAAACATTTTTTAAGCAAAATGCCTAACTGCTAAAGCCTTTACTTCATTCCTGAAGTAATGTGTATTTCTTTGTACAGCTGAATCTAGATGTAACTTTTTAATGAATTTTTCATACGCAGATATCAAGATTTTGAAGTTTTAGTTAAAATACTCTGTAGATGACATTCCCAGTTGCATAATGCTTTACACAAAGTGTGTATTCCAAGATTCAAAAGCTTAATTGTACCTTCCCCTACATACTCAGAACGATTAACATAGAGCACTTAGTCGACTTGATATTTTTTGATTTCTCAAAAAAATAAAGCCATTTTTAGATATTTTTTTCCTAGGTTTGATACGGTTTCATCATTTTCATCTCATACAGCTCCAATTATTCTTTCCAGCATGCATTGAAATTGGCTATTAGCTTCTGTAAAAACGGGTTTAATTCTCTGTCTCAAATTTTGACAGTTCAGATCGTTAAATTTATTGAAGTATCCCCAAAAGCTGAAAAAGTGGGCATTCAGATTCCCTTTTTACTGTTTGCTTAGTGAAAGTCGTTACGATTTTACCAACCAAACCCGCTGAGTAATGTTAGTGAACAGGATTTCTTTTTCCAGCGTAGGCGAGTGATCAGAAGTTTTCGTTGCATTTCACAGTATAAATAAACTACAAAGTTTATCCCTGTACCATGAATATGTTTTTTTGAATAGTACTTTGTCTTTGAAGTATGCAGTATGGTACGATAAATAGTTCTGTGTGCATTTTTAAGGTGGTAAGATTTGAGTAGCATAACTATTGTGTAGTTTAAGTTAACAAGTTACAGATTTTTGAACTGTATGTTCATTCTATTGCACCTTCCCCTAAAGGGACACTGTCTGGTAGTTTAAGGCAGTTTAAGCCTAATGTAGGCTGATTAACCAGGGAAAAACACACACACATACACACACACGTGTGTGTATATATATAGGTATGTATGTATGTATATGTTTTGTGGGGTTTTGTTTTCTTTTTTTAAATAGGATTACATACATCCTTTTACAGCACTATTGGTGGCAAATATCTCTCAGATGAAGCCATCAGCCAGGAGAAAGAACTGCGTCTCAAGGGACTAAAATATATCCTGTCTTTTAAGACAGGACTTGAGCAGGACATAGAACTGTTCCTGTCTCTTCCCAAAGCAGTAGCAATATTTTTCTTAATTTTTGTTACTAGGAAACTGTTGGCACTCTGTCTCTTTCCCCTTACGGTATCACTATTATAGCACTAACTTTACTTGGTACAGTTGAGGGAGAAAGTGCATTTGTTGTCCGTGGCTTGCTTCTTATATTGACAAGAAATACAATTTATGTAAACTTCTTTCTTACTACTTTTGTATAAGGAAACAGGTTCTATTTTGATTCATTGGCCTTGTGTATAACATAGAGAAGTGTTTCAGTGTGCTGTCACTTACCAGTAATTTTGTCTGAATATTTGGCCCTGAGTTAAGAAGAATGAGCATCAGGGGAGAATAGTAAATTCCTTCTGGATTATTAATGACACATGTAAACAAATTTCTCTGAAAGAATGTTTTAAAACTGATTCATGCCTCTATTTTTCTTCGTTTATGGCCAGATTGTTTGTTTTTTTTACTTTCTTTTTGACATTCTGGTTTGCAGAGACACAGTACTTCTGGCCCCTATATCCCAGGCAGCCACCTCTTGTAACGCAGGTTTTGCTTTCAGTGTTTCATTTCCCCGAATAATACCGTGTTCTCGTGGTCTGATTTCCTGTTGTTGCACGTAGGCGGCCATTAGTAGTACTACTTGTTAAAGACAACAAGCAGTAAAAGCCAAAATAAAATAAAAGGGCTAGATTATTACTGCACTTCTCTGGCCCCATAGCAAGGTAAGAGGAATAAAGTCTGTTTCTCTCGAAGGAGATTGAGTCGGCTTTATTTTAAAAAGTTAAACTGCATTGATAACTCTTCTCTGAGAAGGTGATTGAGGAGTAGAAGGGAGCAGTTCTTGGTCCTTGCCACCTTCACGCTCAGGAGTCACTGCTTGGGTGTTGTGCTGTTGTACAGAGTGAAGGAACTTGCTCTTCCCCGGAGCAAAGTGGGAATTGGATAAAGAACTGTTATTCCTTATGTCTCATCTCGTTCCTTTAGTCTCCTGCTGAGCCATTACAGCTGTTCCCTGTGCCTTAGGACAGGTTGTGAGGTCTCTGTCTAGCCCACGGGGACTATCTCCTACGGTGCTTCCACATGTACAATTAAAATGGTGGTGTGAGCAGTTCATCCCCTGATGCTGAAAGTTTTCTGTACTGGAGGAGTTCACTATGATTTCCCGAGTACATGCCCTTTTATTCTGGAATAAGTGTGTTTGTAGTTCTGGGAGGTTTAACTAGATAAAAAGCTCTAGCTTGTTTAATAATTACATTATTTAATAACATTTTCCACTGCTCATGTTTTGCTGCTTTTAATCTGCTGCAGCTGCACACCTTTCATTTTCATCCGGTCAGCGCTTGTTTTTTTTTTACTTTTCTGTGTATGTCTGCAAAAAAGCAACTTTGGTTTTCTGTTCTGGTCTTGTCCTGATACTGTTCAGTGGGTCAGTGTAGGGCTCGGGTGAGCATTAATATTCCACAGAGCTCACAACAGACGTTTTTACTTAAAGGTCATGCAAGCACTGAATGTGTATGTGTGTGTGTGTAAGGTGGAATTTTTTGGGGATATCTCCTAGTGATAGAGCAAGGATGTTTTTAAAACTAGAGGGAATTGGTGACATTTTATTACCAAATTATATATATATGCACAATACGTGTGTATATGTATATAAGCACATATGAATAGGCCATATTTTGGTCCTAAATTACTTGACAGTGTCCCTTTTAGCATGAATCCTTTGATATGTTTTACCATTAGTATAACAGACAATGAAGGAATCAGCTTGTAATGGTATACTAATAGGCATTTACATTTTCTTCATTTGATTTGAGAATGAATTAATCATAAATTACAAGGTTTGGGGAGAAGGATTAACCATGTGTATTGCTGTATGTCGGTTTACGAATAACAACGTAAACAATTTAAATTGGATGATAAAAGAACTATGTTTATGATCTCGTGTCTCCTAGTGTTGTCTTTAGGAAAATTGTGTTTCAAGAAGAAAATAGGACAAGGAAGTATTCATGTGAAATAACAGTTGTATTATTTTTATATTGTACTTGTCAATTTTTTTGATGATAGGAGCTTTTCCATTGTTAATTGAGAAGTACAGTAAAATCTTGCTAATTCGCTGACCGCTAATCAGAACATCCGATAGGTTTATACGTCCCCGATGGTCTCTTCCCCACCTCTCTGCAATGGTCTAAAAAGTAACTGTAGTGAGGTCTCCTATTAGTAATACTGTACTACTTCACCCAGGTATACTGCAGAATCGACACGAGTATACTGGGAGGTAGACGAAGTATTGAAAACTAAATTACAGTTGTCAAAATAAATGAACAAAGTACCTTTTGTGACGTGACATCCTTGCTTTTATTGCCTGCTTCACTATTTTCAAAATTGTCATTTGTAAAGGGTTTCTAAGGCATTGCTGCGAATTATTGGGGTTCTACTGTAACTTTTGGAGTTTAAAGTATTCATGTTCTCCTATGAAAACTTTCCACCTGGACAGATACACTATATTCCATGCTTGTTCAGAATATTTTTATAGTATTTGTATCATATGTAGTAACTATTTGAAATGAACCAGAATATTTGGATGAATCCACTCTGAATTTTGCAGCATTGGATTACTTTCTGTATGTATATTTGCTAACTAAATTTTCTTGCCTTTGAGAGCTTTGATTTTTTTATTCTTCTTTGCTTGCTTGTTTTAATACCATTACAAATTACAGGGAAAATCCTAATACTCCTGGGAATCCGTTGGGAAATTTTAACAGGCAGAAAGATGCTTATGCAGTCGGTACCAGTACACATGTGAACTTTCAAATTACATGGTTGGTACTGAAGCAAATGAATAACGTTAGAGTTTCCTCGTGTTAAATGTTTTACTAAAATGAAGCCTTGTAACTTTGAAAGTTCATTCAACTTGGGGTAATGCATGTTTATGTTAGGCATGTAATGCATTTAGCTAAAACTCACTTCGCAAAGGACAAGTACTAAAAGAGTATTACTGCTAATGGAAAGACATGTCTTTAAGTTAAAATTCAAACTTTTGTTCAGTTTTAATTTGCTTTGTGTCAGGGAAATAAATTTATAGTCGCTTTTGCTCTACTCGGCATATGAAACCTTACGTTTCCTTTTTAAAATGACATCTTTTGGTAGGAAACACAAACTGAGGCAAGCAAACATTTCTAAGAGTTGTTTCTTGCTTTCCTTAATCCAATGGATGGAAAGGTAATATTGTGTAAACAACATTATTTTATTTTTTTATGCAATATCATG